CATCCATCCCCCCTTACAAGGTGATCAATCTTTAGTAATGAGTATCTCAGGCAATCTACTTTACTATGATACTGTCCAAGGGTATTATGAAGATACGAAACAAGGAGAAAAATAGCATCGTTATTGAAAAAGGTGGGCAAACGGGGGACGGGGGAGAGGGGAGTAATGGTGCCGCATGATGGCCATTTGAAAGTTGGCTACGTACTCCCAAAACTTTCAAGAATGCGTGTATGAGAGAAAAGAAAAGGCAGCACAAAGAAGTGTGTATACACGCTTATTCACAGTCTACAAAGTATGAAAAACCGCGGAATTCTTCTTGCATCGCTTGAGTGAGGACTGTTACGGATATGTTAGCCACTGCTATGTCAAAGTCGAAGGGCAAGGGGGGTAAAGGGAAGGGGAGCACTTACCAGACTGAACTGGGGTGAGAACAGGGGTGACACTAGTAAACTCGTGGTCGAAGTTTCTCGTATCAGTAGGGCTGGTGATCTTGGGGAAGAATGGCGGCGGAACGCGCTTATGGTAAATGTCATCCCAGTTAATATTCCGGAAGAATGGGTGTGACATGATTTCCTGAGCGTCAGTTGGTCCAGATCCCAATCTTAGTTCTGGCTCACGTGTCAACAGCTTCTGAAGAATTGAGACGGAGTCTCGTGGCATGTGGATAGGGTAAAAGAGGTTCATCGGCAAGAATGGCGTCGTAGATTTCGTCTTCATCCTCTCCTCGGAAGGGCGACTGCTGAAGCAACATCTGGTAAATCAGAACACCAAAGGCCCACCAGTCAACAGCTCTGCCGTATTTTTTGTCCAGGAGAATCTAAAAGGAACACGTTAGCTATGGCCTCGTGACTGGAAATTCGCAACAAGGAGTATCGTACCTCTGGAGCCATGAACTCGGGAGTTCCACAGAATGTGCTTGTGGTGCTACCATACCACATCTCCTCCTTACACAGACCATAATCGGCAATCTTAAGATGTCCATCTAGAGACAGCAGAATGTTATCGAGTTTAAGATCTCGGTAGATGACACCATTTTCATGGAAATACTTCAAAGCCAAGCAGACTTCCGCTGCATAGAACCTGATGCAAAGTGAGAGTTTGTTAGATATAACTCATTCATATCAGCTGAAGTGGGGGGTTACTCACTGAGCTCTTTTAAGACCAAATTGACCACGCTGAATATGCAACATGAGATCACCACCGCTAATATACTCCATCACGAAGTAAACACGAGTTTCTGTCTGGAAGCAAGCGTGAAGATTAAGCAGGAATGGGTGATGCTCCTTGTTGGCAATCAAAAACACGCGTTTCTCTGACTTGGTGCTTTCCACTTCGTCATTTTCAATGATGAATTCCTTCTTCAGGACCTTAATGGCATAAAGCTTTTTGCTCGTCTTCGATTCTGCAAGCATAACCTTTCCAAAATTTCCTTTACCAAGAACTGCAAGGAAGTTGAAGTGATCCAATCCAATCATAGCACCAGCCTTCTTTTGAGGGTGTGCGGAAGTGGGTGGTGGCATCTGCTCCTTGGAAGCAAGAGCTGTGGGGTGCGCAGTAACAGGGGTTTGCTGTTGCTGGTGCTGAGGGTGCTGCGGGAGTTGCTGATGCTGTGGGTGTTGCGGGTGCTGCTGGTGCGCCTGATGTTGCTGTTGCTGTTGGTGTGGTGGTGACATGGGATACTGGTGCCCCGCAGGTTGATGACCGACTTGGATTGGGGGGAGCTGCGGTGCTTGAACACGGGCATAGGCTCCAGGGTCGTAGTGAGAATGCGGCGGTGGCTGCGGCTGTTGCTGTTGGGGTATCCTAGATTCATGATTAATATACAAGGGCTCTCTAGCGGTATCTAAGGTATCATTGAAAGACAGCTTATCATACCCTGTTTGTTGAGACAAGGGGCGCATGCCCGTTGCGGCGGCGGCAGCGGCAGCGGCAGCGGCACTTGAAGGACTATGTGGAGAGGCAACGGGGCGTCCTGGAGAAGTTGGAGATTGGGGTGGCATGTATGAAGAGCTGGCTGCACTGACGGCTTCCGCTGAGGGAGACATCATTGGTGCACCGTAGCTGTCCTGAGAATGTCGAGGCCCGCCTTCAATGGGAGCGGGCTTTGGACGAGGGGGTTTAGTTGAGCCACCACTTGTTCTATTGGTATTTCTTGTTTTGATAATAGTCTCCAGAATTTGGTTGGCCACTTCCATAGACATCCCGCAGAAGTCAGGCACCAGGTGAGCACAGTTGGAATGACATGTAAGGGAGCATTCTATTCATACCAGTATTAGTAGGCCTGCTCCGGAGAGATATGAGAAGAAAGACTGATACATACCAGAACACCGTTTGGCATTCTTTCTTCCAAAAGGCAATAGATAGCCGCAGTGGCAACACCAATTAGCAGAGATATTGGAGTATCCCTCGAACCGATGAGGGATGCGGTGGTTAATCTTCTCCTCATCTGGGTCGGTTTCATAGTTCGCTTTGCTAATACACTTGGTAACAACTTTCGGGTAGCATTTTCGGTGACAGGTATACTTGCAGTCAGAGCACTGCATACCGGCTGCATATTTGAGGAAATCACCACAAAGAGCACACCGCATGATGTTATAAAACTGCTGGGTAACAAATTTGTGGCCTTGTTTCTCATGGACTTCTTCCTTCTTTTGGCGGACAGCTCCTTGACGGTTGAGACCAATATCAAAGGGTCGTCTATCCTTAAGTTGTTTGGCTATTAGGCTCATTGTTAGTATGGTATCCATGATGTAACGGGGCTTATGTGCCATAATGTAGGACGTAGAAACAAGAACAATATTTCAGCAAAGTGGTTCTTACCAAAGCTCATGGTAAGGTGTATTCTCCCCACTGGCTCCAAAGCAAACCAGGAGTCGACCATGACCGTCGCATTTTGGCCGATAGGGGCTTGCCCTGGAGGTTGAGTTCTAGCAGGCTGGCTAGGTTGGAACGAACTTCCCTGGAACTGGGTGTCCGGCCTGATGGCCCCGTGATCCATTTTATCAGCAGAAACCCATCCGGAGGCATTAAATTCAGTCTCGATCTTCTTTCGACGCATCTCTTCCGCGATATCTGAAATCCTTATCCAGAGCATGCCGATGGGCGTGGGTCTGTCACCCGACTTGTCATATACAGTGAGTTCGATTTCATTCGCCTTATCAATGTCCACATTGAAGGTCTCTTCAGTCCATTTG